TGCTTTGTGCATATGGACGTCCACTCCACAGCCTTTGGCTCTTCACACCACATACACGAAAGGCAAAAACTATGGCGATGTATTTTCCCATGCACAGGTGGAAAATACATTCTCATTTTCCACATTTGATGAGGTGGAGCAATGCCCAACAACGGGCACTCCCGAATCTCCTGGCAGATTGTCATCATTGCAGGACCCTCCTACACGGTTTTCAGAATTCCTCAAAAAAGCTTTGAAATGGTGGCACACAGTGCCACCCCCCCCGCCCTCTGCCGCAACGTGCCGCACCGGTATAGGAATCAAAACCAAACTCGTGCTAGCGGGACTTAGCCCCCAGGCCACTCTGGTAGCCTAGACAATCATTCTTCTCCATGTGATTTATTTTTATTTTTATTTTTTTGAATTTTTTTCTGATAACGTGCTGGAACTGCTGGTGTTTTTTAACTGGAGGAATACTGCTGGGAATTTTGTTGGTGGGCTTATCACGAGCTACCGTCGTTCCCCGGATACAACATACTTTGGTAATTTGTGATTATATCTGCATTTGGGGCAACTTTCAGTCTAGATACAGGGATAATGACCGTACGTTCTATCCGGGGAAAGAAGGTAGGTTGGAGCAGTTTGGTTGTCTTGGTATCACGTAGAAAATGCATAGTTGATGTCTTGGGTATTAGCTACAGCTTCAGCCTTCAGTTCATTGCGTCGTTTCATGTCGGTTGAATTCGTGGACCTCTTTCTAAACCATTAGACTGTTTTTTTAACTTTTTTGACTTTTTTTATTAAGTTTCTTGGGGAGATTTGTTTTCTTAAACCAGCAGACCCTTCCCAGCTATTATGTTTTCTAACTTTTCTTAAGCTATTATGTTATTTTCTTAATCCGCTGCATTAAACCACCAGTACTTGCAATGCACTTTTCTCCGGCCCTGGGTACACCCTGCACGCCAAAAAACGAACCGGCACGGGCCGTTGATGAATTTCATCGACGTCCTTGAAGGCCCTGGAAATTGCGGCACGTGCAGGCACAACGGCCCGCGGCCGATATATGGGCCAAGTATTGGTTATTTAACAGTAGCTTGCTCGTCCTATCAGAAGGAAAAGGCTGGTGGCACCGGGCAAAATGAACTTACTTCGCACCCACACCAGACCCCATTACTTTTGCCGCCCAGCAGAAGTGTGGGTCGGGAGGGAACTAGTGGTTTGAATCGCCACTACCTCCACACTTCTTTTCGCAGAGGTGAAAATGAACTGTGCACCAAGAATTGCCAAAGCACCAGCGCAACCTTTTTTTTCGGGGGGGGTTGTGGTGGGTGGGGCTAGCGGCGCCAGCCGTTTTGGTCCGGTCCGGTACACCTGAAGGATGCGGTTTATGGCAAATTAGTTAAAAATTAAAATTACTAAATTTGTGTTCCCAGTTGGCCTGTGAAAGGTAGGAGTGGTTCAAAGTTTAAACTTCAAACCACCGGTGACTGTCCATCCGTGGGCAGCACTGTAGATTTTGTTCGTACCTGAAGTATCGGGCCAAAATCTACAGTGCCCAGGCCCGGTGGAAACTGTTTTTTTTTTTCAAAGGCCAGCACTGTAGAATCTGGACTTGGAAAAGTGTAAGTCTTTTTTTTTTGTTTGTTTGTCAATCGACCTTCGGATGGACTGGTGGTCTAAAGACTCTAAACCACAAGTACGTTTCCCAGCCAATTTTCGAGGACGCGGCTGCATGCGCACCGCGTCTGGCAGGAAAACCGGCAGGCCGGTTCGCACAAGATACGTCCAGGAAAATAGCTTTGCATGCACACGGTTTTGCCTGGATGTATCGTTACGGGATCGGCATGCCGGTTCATCCGACGAGATGCGGCGCGCATGCAGTTGCATCGTAGAAAAATGGCTGGGAAACGTACTGGTGGTTTAAACAACCAGTATACCCGAGTCTCTTTTTTTTCCGGAGGCTCAAAACACCCTGCGCGCCGAAATTGATCGAGCCAGCGCAGGCCTCCTTTTGTTCTCGCCGCCGGCGCCGGCAGCTGACCCCCAGAAGTTGCGGGGTACATGCAGCCGGGTCTTAGAAAAATGGCTAGGAGACTTACTGCTGGTTTATGCAGCTATCTCCTTGCACCAACTCCAAGTCTCCGACTCCATTTCGATGGGACATTCCCAGCACTAGGAATCGGGGAAGGTTGGCTTTTCTGGTTCCTGAAAACATACTTGCACTAGGACTTTTTTTCGCTTATTTTAAGTTATTTATGGATGCAATGTTTGCGGTCAGATGCATCCAGGTCTGGCTGTAAATCCTGTCGGATACATTCAAGGTAGAGCTAGTATGAGCACACCTTCAGTTTGCATTTGTACGGCACATTTTTTGGTGGCATTTAGCACCGAGGAAGCGGAGAGGGATTTTATCAATTGCTTAGCAAGGAGAAAAGTATACCGATGCAGGTCCTCTTGTCGATTTTTTAATATCCAGAACCAACCCCGGTCAGAATGCACGTGAACATGCGGATACGACCAGGTGCATCTTGACAGGTGGGTACTCGTTCTGACCGTCGGCAAACCGATGGGTCTCTGTCACGTGGTGAGTTATCGCAAACTGCTATCGAGCACATCAACCAGTATGCAGCTATGTGTCACTGGTGGGATGACATTATTTTGTTTATTTGTTCAACTTTTTTTTTTTTTTTTTTTTCATTACATCATTGTTTAAGTAATACAACTACGCTACTCCACGAGTAACACTGGAAACTAGAAGGTATTGAAAACTTACTAGAAACTTACTAGAAAGTTACTAGAAATTAAGTCACCTTTTGAAGTGCGATTAAGATCATAAGTGTGCATTCGTGGAGAAAAAGAGGAGGGAACAATCCATGGAATCCTTAATTCATCACTTTAAGCTTTACACGGAGGGTGTGTCTGGTCTCTCTACCAGCTTCGTCTACGTACACCTGTAATAGAAGCACCCAAAGGAGAATTTGGTGCATATTTAAATATTTAGTATTTAATATTTAGTTAGCAACGGAACCAATTGTCCTTATCGTTGTCAAATTCGAGCACCTGTTTTTTTGCTCATTTACAAGGGCTTGATTTTATGTCGAAACATCACATGCTCGCAGATGGGGGTTCTATCATAGGTACTCAGGAGATTGTGTCCGAAGAAGTAGATAGGTGACACTTCATGTCTCATAACAAGCTCTCGATAAAAACACACACTTAGAGACTACGTACTAGAAAGTTAGAAACGTAGTAGAAAGTAAAAATTAACTTGGTAGAAAACATTCCGAACAAAAAAATGAAGTGGGGGGGGGGGGGGGGGGGGGGGGGGGGAGAGGGGAGAAGGGACGGAGGGAGTGGTCGAGGAACAGAGGGAGCAAGAGAGGGACGGACAGACAGATGACTGGCCAACCGACCAAGGGCAGGCAGGGCATGCTGAAGGAGGGAGGGAGGAGGAGCAGAGAGGAACAGACAGACAGACAGACAGACAGGAATGCATGCAAGCAGGCAGAGCGGCTGACCAACAGACAGACAGACAGACAGACAGGCAGGCAGACAGACAGACAGACAGGTAAGCCGTCGGAACGAGCGACTGACGGATGCGTGAAAAGCACTGTGCAAAGCAAAACACCAGCGGTGGACGGTCCTTTTCTTTGTCCTCATTGCTTTGCTGTATGTGTAGTTGTCACCTCCATGTGTTCTTTCTGCTGTTGGAGTCGTTCTGCCTTCGCTTTTTGACTGCTGACGGTGGCGGTTCAAGTAATGCTGCAGCTTTTGCTTGTCAGATATACAAAAAGCTGAAGCCAGATAGTAATAGTAATTAAAATTATTAAATTCAATTAGAGGGCAATCCGCAGGAAACCAACATATGTCTGTGTAGGATCCTCAGAGACTTTACAAGGGAATTGGTTCTCTTGTATACCCTCTCTGCCAATATGCTCCTGTAATTTGTTATTGGGGTCCACCCCCCCCCCGTGTGTGCGTTGAGCAGATGGATTGGGAATTTGGGAGTCTTGGGACAGATCTGGGATTTTGGGTGGAAGCAACTGTGTGCATGGAGTGCACGGATGCGTGGACACTGGACACTACTTGCCCCGCCACACAGACGGGGTACCTTGCACTCTGATGATTACTGCCCCGCCACACGGACGAGGCAGAAAAAAGGGCGATGCTGGTGTGCATTTTGCAAGCCAGTACTATGATACTATCTCATTGAGAGTAAAGCCTCGCATTGTGTGCTAACTTATTTGAACGACTACGACTACTCTGGGTGAATTTGGTGTCTATAAAAATATTATGTGGTTGGGAGTTTGGAACGTCGGCTGGATTAATAAGAATTATAATATAATATTTTTATAATTCGGAATTCCTGATAGCACATGCCAACAAAAAAAGAACAGGGAAAAAAAAAAGAAGGTTACTTGACTGAGGTGCTACCGGTAGGTGCTTCGTACAGTGCGTCAACACTGTCAAGCACACTCTTAGATTTGCATCAGAAGATTTTCCATTTTTAAAATTTGTTTTCCCATTTGGAGTCTTTGGACTTCTTTAACAAAGGGAAGCCCCTCCCATTATTATATTCATATTGGTTTTCCATCCGGGTTTCCAAAGAACTCACGACCTGTTTAGTAATTAATAATTATTAATTATAGTTACATCAACTTACATCCGTGACCAGATTCAGCCACATGAACTCGGTGTGTGTGTGTGTGTGTGTGTGTGTGTGTGTGTGTGTGTGTGTGTGTGTGTGTTTATTACTTTTTAATACTCTTTATAATGGAAAAAAAACAGGCCAGGGCTTGTCTGTGTGAATGTTCTTCTGAGTGAATTGATCACGTGGTGCAATACATATGTCGAGGGCGAAGCCACACCACTCAGGAAATGAAAAAAAATGGGAGAGCCCCTTCCCACGGAAGGTGGCTGGATTCATCAGTTACTATTTGTAGCAATGGACGTTTTTCGCCAACTTCTGTGGTGAGATGCACTCGCATTTTTTTTCATTTCGTGGGTGGTGTGGCAAGGCCCAGACTCTCCGCGAGGAAGCTGAGAAGTAGACTCTTGACCCCACCGGCCTGGTGTTCTTTGCTGGTCTGTTTTTTTGTTTTCCGCCGCAGATGTCCCGTCTCCGTTATGGAGGAGTTCTGTTTACAAAAGCTGAGCCTTCCTGGTGCAGATTACCGGGAGTGCATCGTCCAGGGGCTAATGAATGGTCTTGGAATGACGCGAGGGGATGCTGAAGATTACGTGGCGAAACGCGCTGTGAGATTGCTTGATTAGGGAACAACAAGAATGGAAGCCAAGCCAAGCCAAGAGAAGACGAGACAAAGCTAGGCTGCTAGGGTACAGGAGCAATGGAAGACGAGAGAAGGCGAGGCTGCTATCCAAGAAAGGTGTGAAAAGTGTGAAACAGTCGGCATGAAACTGCAGGGGGGGGAAAAAAGCAAGTGAGAAGTGAAAGAGTCTGCACACACAGAGAGAGAGAGAGAGAGAGAGAGAGAGAGAGAGAGAGAGAGAGAGAGAGAGAGAGAGAGAGAGATGCAACAGGCAGCAAGAGTCTGCACTACCTTGTTTTGATAAGCGCCAGGCATTACTCACACTAGCTCTATCTGTAGTGTATTTGACCGCATTTACAGACGGACTGGATGCATCTGGCCATAATTATGTCCATTAAGAAGTTAAAAAACTGGCCATAATTATGTCCATTAAACCACCAGTACCTACCCCATTTTCCGTACCCCCCGGGTTCGAATGAATTTGGACCGGAGGAACAGGCCAGTTCGGCTACCGCGTTCACGGCCGCCGCATCCGGTAGGTACTGGTGGTTTAAGAAGTTGAAAAGCCCTAGTGTAAGTTTTCCCTAACCCCCCACATGTAGGAGTGAATTGGCAAAAGCGATAGTGCAGCACATGTCCAGTATGGTGATGAACAGAGCAGATAACATTGTGGAAATTTCTTTGCTCGGGTAAACACCTGCTTAGCTCCCTAGGACTGGCATTACAAGAGAGAGAGAGAGAGAGAGAGAGAGAGAGAGAGAGAGAGAGAGAGAGAGAGAGAGAGAGAGAGAGAGAGAGAGTTGTAACTACTCTGCAGTTTTACATCTCCAGCCCATCCTTGCAACTATTCTGCAGCTACCTCTTCCAAGTTGCCAAATAGTTGAGAGAGAGAGAGAGAGAGAAGAGAGAGAGAGAGAGAGACAGACAGACAGACAGACAGACAGAGCAAGGCATGGGCACTTTGACGAGGTAGCTGCAGAATAGTTTTACATCTCCAGCCCACATGGCATGGTCCTCGGTTCAAGTCCATGTGGGGAAGGAACGGAGACTCTTGCGGAGCTGAATTTTTTACATCTCCAGGATGTAAGTTAGGGCGGGGGCAAGGACCCCTCAAGGGTTCTTAGTGGGCGGGGTGGGGGGGCATAGCCCTGAAATCTCCTCTCACTCCATCCACTGTGGTCCTGAGTGTTTGTTTAGACAGGTTTGCACAGGTTGCAGAGCAATAGCATGGCGAGGACAGTCCCGTCCAAACAGGGGGTAGTGAATTGAGTGGTGAATGATCATTTAGAGTTGGGCCCAGGTTCTTTCTATCCATATTGTCATTTAACTCTACTTCAGCCTTTGATCTTCATGAAATCCATCCAGATTCTTCACCTTTTTTTTTCTTTTTTTTTTCCTTCTCTTTTTTTTTTTTGGCTCCATCTATTGGTGGGGAGCCTCCTCACCTGCTGGAAAGCGGGTCCCGCATCCCATATACAAGAAATTCAGATAGCTGAGAACGGCTTGCCAGCATTGATTACTCAGCCGGCAGGTTCCAGAGGAATTGACTGACCAGGCTTTGCGACAAACATCTGCTATGGCAGCCTGGTCCCTCCCCCCCCCACTTTCCTTCCCCCTACCCCCGGACTGACACCCCCTCCCCCCTATCCCCAACGTACCCGAACCAAACCCTCACATCTTCCTTGCTTTTTGGGCAAAGTCATAACCACTTCACTTTGACTACTTCAGCCTTTTTTTGTTAGTTTTTATCATCTGCGGAATTTGTGCAAGTGGGATGCCAATCATAATATTCATCAAAAAAAAAAAAAAAAAAAAAAAAATCATCATGTCATTCCATCATATGAGACACACAT